AGAAAAAGAAAAAAGGCAATGGCTTTGGAACCACTGGCCCAGGGTCCAAACACTAACTCTGCCAACCCTAACCCTACGTGACACGAGGGAACTCTTTCCCCTTACTAGACTTCACTCTTCTCATCCATAAAATGGGAAGGCTGGGAGGTCCCTGCCAGCCCAACACCTAGAATCTGAGGACAGAAGACTCAAAGGCTTACATCCCAATGGAGAGAGCTCAGCCCCATTGCCCAGGGAAGCAAAAATGCAAAAACCAATCACAAGAGGCATCAACACAATGAACAACAACAGCAGAAACTCTGGCCTGGCGCAAACAACCTCTAAAAAATGGCATCTCGATGAACCTTTTTCTCAGGGACTTAGGAAAAGCCGTCACATACAGAAGAGAGCATTTATAATTGAAAAGATTTTTTTTCAGGACAAATGAAACTCAGTGACAGACGAAATGAAGCCACCGCCTCAAGTTAAACAACAATTAAAAAAAATCTTCTCTCAGAGAGGGAAAAATAAATAATGAGGAAAACACAATTTAAAAGGTTAAAAGGTCTTCCGTCAGCCCGAGACGGTTGCAACACATCCTAGTCGGAGGGAACCAATCACTACTCCAAAAGCCTATTGGGGTGAAGGTCCACTTCCAAATTATTGCATGCTTTGGTAAGGTCAAAAGAAAGGGTAAGAAACAGATTCTTCTCCCATTGGACAGGAAGCTGGAAGCGGCTACAATCAAAGTCCTCGTGAGCCAGGTGTGTTTAGCCACCTACAGAAGGCTCAAACTCAAGACCCTCCCGTCAACTGTCAGCCCATATCACAGAACGCATGGGACAGTTCTGACCTTCCATGTAGCAGGCCCAAAAGCAGTTGTCTCTAGAAATTCAGAAACGTGAGTCTCCAAAGACCCCGGGACCCTTCAGAATGGCATCCAAAGAGGAGCAGACAAAAGGGCCACTCTCCTCGAGCACAATAACACTGCTACGTTCAGAAGATGGCTCTGAGCTCCACGGAGGAAGGATGCTATCACATGCAAAAAAATCAAAAACTGAAAAGCAAAAGAAATGTCCACTCCATGCGCGGCCAGCTCTCCAAGCACACTGCGGCACACTCATCTTTCCAAGGCCAACAACTCTTCCATAATCACCCTCGATGGCTGGAGTCAATGACAAGGCCTACATTGTGGTTAGCCTACCAGCCCAGTCACAAGCATTGAGAGTCTTCCTGGAGGCACTCTACCTTGAAACCATAAACTTTGTCTAGTGGAGAATCGAGAATCTATGGAAAACGTACCGGTCCAGCTCCATATCTAGCCATTCCTTTAGTGACTAACACAGGAAACACTAAAAACATCCAAGGGAGAAGGTAAGTGACGGCTCCCACCCGAACATGGTCTATGGCATCATCCTGCAACGTTCACAATGGCCAAAAACCATTCTCTAGTTTTGATAATCCTACAACAATAACAGCTTTCATTTACAAAGCGCTTTAAGACTGCAGAGCACTTTATGTGTCGGTCAGTCAATAAGCATTTATTAAGCACCTACTACATGCCAGGCACGGCACTGAGTGCTGGAGAAGCAGAAAGGGGCAAAAGATGGTCCCTGGCCTGGAGGGGCTCACAATCTAATGGGGGAGACAAGCAGAGGGCTGTGTACAAACAGGACGTGTACAGGATATGGAGGAAACAGTTAAAAGAGGAAGGCGCTGGAACGAAGAGAGGTTGGAGAAGGTTTCCTGGAGAAGGCGGGATGAAGGAAGCCGGGGAGGTCCACAGGAAGAAAGGAGGAAGGAGACATTCCAGGAATGGGAAACAGTCAGTGAAAACACCTGGAGTCAGGGGTCGGGAGACGGAGCGTCTTGTTTGAGGAACAGAAAAGGCCACGTCGCTGGATGCAGAGGACATGGCAGGAAGTAAGACAACTGCAAAGGGGGAGGGGGAGGAGGTTTGGCTTTGAAGGCCAGACAGAGTGTTTCATATTGGATACTGCAGGTGCTGGGGAGCCTCCGCAGGTTACAGAGGTGGGGGTGACGGGGTCAGATCTGCACGTGGCTGGATGGGGGATGGACTAGAGTGAGGAGGGACCGGAGGCAGGCAGAGCCCCAACAACTACTTCCATGGTGGAGAGGGTTCAGGACAGAGCCCTGAGGGACACCTGTGGTTACTGAGGGCATGATCAAGAGAAAGATCCAGTGAAAAAAGACAGAGGAACGGTCAGAGAGGTAGGAGGACAACCAGCAGAGTGCGTGGGGCGTCCCAAAAACCTAGCAAGAAGAGGGTGTCAAGGAGGAGAGAGTGACCCACAGTGTCACAGGCCACAAGGAGGCCACAGGGAATGAGGATTGAGGAAAGGCCATAGGACGTGGTAACTAAAGGATCCCTGGTCCCTTTGCAGAGAGCAGTTCTGGTGGAACAAGAAGGTCAGAAGCCAGATTGTAAGGGGTTAATAAGAGAGTGAGAGGAGGGGGCCCCGTTGGAGAAGAGCTTCTGAGTTTAGCTACAGAGGGCAAGGGAGAGAAAAGACAAGAGTCAGCAGGAATGGAAGGTTCTGGGGGGGGGTTTTTCTGAGGTGGGAGAGACATGGGCATGTCCGGGGGCAGGGGGGAAGGGGCCGGGGGACGGGGGGGGGGGAAGGGGGGGGGGGAGTGGGGGGCAGTCTGCTGGAGGAGATGGGATGGAAGAGGATCATCTGAGCAGGTAGAGGGGTCTGCCTTGGACAAGACAAAGGCCACTTCACTATGGGAGATGGGGTGACAGGGTTGAGAGGGGCAGGAGGCACCCAAGTGATGGGAGAAGAGGGAGCCCATGGTGAATGGCCTCAGTGTTTTCTGTAAAGTAGGAGTCGGGATGGAGCTGAGAGTGGGGGGAGGAGGAGCCACGGGGGGCTTGAGGAGGGGTGAGAAGGTACAGCAGGATTGCCTGGCAGCAGCGAGGGCCGGGGGAGGCTGTGCAGCATCGGCCTGGAGTGGGGCCGGTCAGGGCAGCCGCGTGTTGTCTCCACCTGCACTCAGCAGCGTGTGTAGGAGTGAAGGCAAGAGACGACGGACAGGACACTTAACGGGCCTGGCCCTCATGCTCCTTCTCTGTGAACTAAAGGGCTAGACTCCATGGCCTTCAAGATGCCCCACAGCTCTGGATTTGAGAGCCGGAAACAGAACCTGCGGCACCGGACAGAGCCCACGTCCAGAGTCTCTAAGGTGTGCAGGCCGATTCCCCTACCCCAGTTCTTGTGAGGTGGGCCTAGAATTATCCCTACTGAGCAGGTGAGGACACTGAGGCTCAGAGGGGTGAAGGCTGCCCAAGGCTGCACAGCACCCAGGTCAGAGCTGGGCCTCCAATCCAACCCCTGCTTACAAACTGTCCATCTCAGGAAGGGAACCAACGAGGGTCAATCTGAGAATCACCGCCATTGTCTGCTAAGACGGCTCCCAATGTGACGATCACAACAGAAACAAGCCAGAAAACAGTGCCGAGAACTAGAAGAGCTCAGGAAACGGTCTCCTAAGAAATGCGGGGCATCCTAGAGCAAAGCCAAGGAGGGCCAGCTCCCCCACAAGGAAAGCAATCCGGCTCTGCCTGGCCCCTTGGGCCCCACCGTCGAGACAACCGAGCTTTGCATATCAAAGCAAGACAAGCCTATTCACTCTTGAGGTGGAAAATTCAAATTTGAGAATTAATGGGAAGTCATGCATGAAAAATACAAGATGTGAAACGTTAAGACTGACATTCAAAAGGCCGCCCTCTTTGTAAGAACCCGGCCATCCTCTGAAAAGGAGCCCAGCGTGGTTTTCCCATCCTAAGATAATGCGGCTATTTCAGAATCAAAAGAAATACATTTTCATTTAAGGAAAAGCCTCTTAACCAGTTTTCTGGCATACACAGTAACATTATTCACATTTATGAAAAGACTTCCAACTCAGCAAAGGCCTCTCATTCTCTCCCCCAAATAAGCCCAACACCTCCCAACACTCAAGCTCAGCTCTTCCCCTCTATTTGTCTCACAACACTGGCGGGTACCTCGACTCCCCCGCTCCTGACGGCTCAACCTCGAGCTCCCAGGCACGGCACCCAGAGAACCGAGAGATGCGTGGAAAGCAACAGGCCCCGGGAGCCAGGGCCGGACTGAGGCCCAGGTGTCTGCCCGCTCCTCCCCCACTCCCCAAAGACGACGCAGGCTGGGTGGGCCCTGCCCAGCTTCCAGGAGCACAGGACCCGAGATGGACCGGAGCAGCCTTGCTCAGGGATGGGCACCTCCTCAGCAGAACACACCAGGGGTGCCTGCTTGGGCACAGCAATGCGCACGGAGCCTTCACAGGGGCCCGAGGTCCAGAGACTGCATCGTGGTCGGAGCAGCCACACAGCTCCAGGCCAGCGCCAAGCAAGGACCACGGGGGGGGTGGAGGGAGCTCAGCCACCACTGCATCCGACTCTTACCCACCACACATCTCTACGACCTTTGAAGCACGGACTCCTCCCACCTCTGCTGGCTGACTCAGCGCCCCCAAAGCAGCCCCTCCCCGCTTTCGGGCATCTTTAATTGTTAAGAAATTAAATCAGCTGATAATTTCCCCCTCAGTTCTGTAAAAAACTTGAAAGTTTTATTTCTAAAAGTCATTTTCAACTTTTTTTAATTTAGAAAAAAATAATCAGCTGAAATGAAAAACATCTGCTTCCACCTCAGCCAATGATGGCTCCCATGGGGAAGGTGGGGAGACAGGCATGTAGGACAGGTGTCCAGGAGGCTGTTGAGGAAGCTAACTGATGCTGGGGGAAGAAGGCTGCCCACGCTGGACATCTCCTCCAAGGTCCCAGCCTGGCTCAGGGCAAGCCCCTGAGCAAGAGGCCACTGCCACCCTGTGGCACAATTCCAAAGGCACAGAACCTCAGAGGAGGAAGCATCCTGGAAGAACCTCCCGGGGGGCACTCTCTCCTCTGCAAGCCCGTCTGCAACCAGCACTCTGCTAGCACTGGGGGGCTCTGCATGGCATGGACTGGTCCCCCACACACTCACCTGTGACCTGGATGGTAAATCACAGTGTTGACTCCATGGGGATAGTGACCACTGAAACTAAAACTGTGGCTCTCCTGGTAGCTCTGATTGGTGCCAACACTAAATCGGGAAAGAACAGAAAGGCCGCCCGAAGTTACACAAGGCCACAGAAGTCAAAGCGTCTCCTAGAGGGCACGGGGTGAGACCAGAAGTCTGTCTTACCTCACGAGGTAACTTCTCAGCTCTCCCCGGTAATTAACGACCAGGAGTTCCGCGGACCACTGGGCACTCGCCTTGTATTCTAAAAATATCAACCCTGCAATGGCATAGCTGAGGTCTCTGGGAAAACTGGACGCCTGCAGGAGAGAAGAGAACAGCCCAACTCTTTAGCTACCGAGAGGGATAACAAACCAGCTCTGCTCGATGACGCAGGGCAGCTGAGAGCACCCCTCTGGGACCAGGCTATCTCCTACTGACGCCCCACCCCCAAGGACAACCAGCGCCTGGCCACACCACCACGCGGTACCCCTCACAGACCTGGGAAACGGGGGTACCACTCGGCAGCAGGGCCCCCGGGAGAGAAACGGGAGGTGGCATGGGCCAGGCCGGGCAGATCCCCACCGCCATCCTGACCATCATCACCCCTCAGACCCTGAGGCCGCGAGCTCAACCACAACAGGGCAGCTAGGTGGCACAGCAGATAGAGCACCGGCCCTGGAGTCAGGACTGAGTTCAAATCCAGTTTCAGACCAGACACTTGACACTTACTAGCTGTGTGACCCTGGTCAAGTCACTTAACCCCAACTGCCTCTCCAAAATAAAAAAGACTCAACCACAAGGATCACAGTAATAACAACAGCTAACATGTACACAGCGCTTTCTATGTACCAGGCACTGTGCTAAGTAGTGGGGATACAAAGAAAGACAAAAGAGAGCCCCTGCCCTCCAGGCGCTTACCACGCCTACAGAGAAGTGCCCACCATCACCCCGAGAGGCTGCCCCGGGAGATGCCCCTGACAACGGCTCCTTGCTGCAGGAGCTGAAGTCCCAGAGAAGAAAGCTCTTGGAAGCACAGTCCTGGGCACGGTTAGCCAAGAGCAGAAATGGCACTATGGAACAGGCCTGACCACCTGCTTGGCCCCTTCCCCCAAGGCCCAGACGTGCAACTGAAACCCTTCCTGGGAGCTGTCTTTGCCATCAGAACATGAGCTCCTTTAGGACAGGGCCCCTCTGACCTTTCTATGCAACTGCCCAGGGCTCAGACCTAAGCTCTGCCCATAGTCAGCACTTCATAAAGGCCTTGTTCATTCCTTCATTCATTCATTCCTTCATTTATTCATTTGTTCATTCATTCATTCATTCAATCATTCATTCAATCATTCATTCATTCTATTCACATAGGTTCCCAAGGCCGAGGGGAATACCACACATCTGGGTCTCCAACCACAAATGATCCCAATATGCAAGTCCTTATTCACAAAAGGTAACAGGCTCCCCCTATCCCAGAACGATGCCGTGGAAAGAGCAGTGACTGGGCAGTCAGGGGACCCAGGTTCTAATCCCCCCTGACCCTACCCAAATTCTACTACCTGTGTGACCAGTCTCCCTTTGTGCTCTCGCCTGCCCTGGCCTTGGGGTCCTAGATGGCCTTTACGGCCCCTTCCCGCTCCAGACCGGGAGCTCATGGCCTTACAGAGGCGGACACCTGCCCCAACAGCAAGCCAAGCAAAGCCGCTTTCAGGAGCTCACACCCGGTGCTCTAAGCCGGGGCCTGCGGCTGCACACTGAGCAGCCCCCTCGAGAGGTCACCCACCCACCTTTTAGACACACATCTTATCGTCCTTGCGCCCAGGGCCAAAAGGACAAGGTCCAGGCTCTGGCTCCAGGCAGTGCCCTGGCCTTCTCACCCGCTGCCTCCGTTCCAACCATTGGGCTGCACCCCACGAACACCCTTCTCTCACCAGCCGGTCCTCTGCGCCCTCCCCCTCCTCAGAACTGCTGCCTGCACCACTCACATGATGCTTCCTGTATACTGCCTTGGATTCTGAGTCGACTCTGGCATAGGCCCTTGGAGCAAACCCAACTCCCCTGTTCTGCTGAGGGGAAGCGGAGCCGAGGCAGGGAACTGACCAGCCCACGGCCCTGTAATGCCCAAGGCAGGCTAGGCCCAGCTCCTCTGTGCCACGGAGCTCGTGCGGGCCGCACCATCAGCCCTGAGGACGGCAGCCACGCCCCCTCCTCGCTCCATCCTCCCCAGGCCACGCCTGCCTGACCCCCACGAAGGCTCAGCACCATACCGGGGGGATGGAGAAGAGCTCGCTGCCCACGAGGTCAAACACCCTCACGGTGCCCACGCTCTCGGCATAAGCCAGCAGGGTGCAGTCGTGACTCCAGGCCACCCGTCTCCACTGAGGGCTGGGATCCTTGGGAACTGCAGAGAAAGAAGAGGGCTCCCGATTAACACGGACAGAGAAGGCTGGGAGGGAGCCCCCCCCACCCCCGACCCCCAGCGTCTGGAGGCCCAAGCCAGCACCCTGACGGTCGGTGGTCACCCTCACCTCGGGCCGAGCGGCCAGCCCGGGCCCACTGCCGCTGGGCCTCTCACGGCTGGCAAGAATAAGCCTCAAACTACTATTAAGGGGCAGAAAAGAGGCCAAGGACGCACGGCTGGGCGACCCTGAAGATGCCTCCAAACCTGTCCAAGGAGACTTCCAGAAGAAGAGCACGGAAGAGCGGGGGGCGCTCTGAGGAGCGCCTGATAAACTGTGCGCCCCCGCCCCGCTCCTGCAGACGGGCACCAGAGGCGGGCTGCAGAGAACCAGGGCGGAACAAAGAGGAGCTGGTCACCAGGAGAGCGCGCAGTGCATCCAGGCCGAACCACGCTCCTGGCAGAGGCAGAGGAGCCCAGAGCCGGGGCTCCAGGGTGGGGTGGGACATCAGCGCCCCAAAGGGGCTCCATCGGGGAGGGGCGCAGAGACTGGAAACGATTAGAAAAGGCTTCGATTTCACATCTTTGTGATCTTTTAAGCCACAGACTGGCTTAAAGAGGGAACTGCTCCCTCGTGTGCCTCTGTGGAGCCCCAGCACTCGGCATGCCATGGGCGTTTAATAAACGCTGGCTCAGTGAACAAGCCCCATGTGTGGAAGGTGCAGGGATCACCGAGGCCAACTCTCTCACTTTACAGATGAGAAAATGGAGGCCCAGAAAAAGGAAATAATTTGCCTCTAGTCCCCCAGGCAGTGAGGGCCAAAGCTGCAATTTCCACCCAGGGTCTCTAAGGCAACCCAGCCTCCGTCAGCACTGGCACACAATTACTTGTAAGGACCTGGGAATTCAGAGGGTGGGACCTTCCTCGGAAAACCCGGTCTCCCCATCTCTGATTTAGGGGCCAGGCCCGGGGACCTGCCTGCGGTGACCGCATGGCCCCTCTACGGGTCATGGGCCCCACGGTGGTTTCTGTGACCCTTCTTGGGACGTGTCCAAAGGCATGTTTGTCTCCTAGAGCTTGGCAACGTGGTAGCTGCAAGGACGGCCACAGCCCCCGGGGATGGCCAGTGAAGTGAGCGTGCTCACTAAGCGACACAGACAGGCATGCCCACGCTTACACCCAGAGCTGCCTGAATGATGAGGGCCTTGTGTGGGGGCTCAGAGGGAGAGCAGCCCCCAGCCAGCCTTCACTCCCCACCCCCTGGGGCCCTGCTCCTGACTCCGCAGACCCTGCCGCCACGTCCTGCCCCTGGTCACTGGCTGCTCTCCTGTGTCCCAGGCTCAGCTTAGGAGCTTCGAACTTTCTTTTGCTTTTGTCCTCAAGACCTGATATGTCAGCGCCCACCTGGTGACCTATACCCTTTCCTCTTCCACCATTTACTGCCCTCAGCAAGCCAAGGGCCCGGGTTCAGAGGCTGAGGGGTGGGCTGAAAGGGGGCTCTCTGTGACCCCTCCTGGAAGGAGACAGAGTGGGAAAGTCGGGAAGTCCCATCCGGAGGGAGCCGCTAGGCACGCCCAGATCAGGGCACAGACCTGGGGCGTGGCAGCGCCCTTCTCCCGCCGGCCACGGCCACCCACCTATACAGATAGCACCTCCTCTGATCAATCTCTTTGGGATACTCTGATCTTTTCCCCTCCCCTGGGGCACACATAGTCACTTAGAGGGAGAGGCCATTCCTGCCAAAGGTAGGAAATGAAATGAGTTGGAAGCAAACCTACATTTATTAAGCACCGACCGCTTGCGGGCACTGTGCCGCACCACATGACTGACAAAGACTTGCACCAGAGAGGGGGCTAAGGGATGTGCTCCAAGAGGGGCGAGCCACAGGGTCAGAGAGAGGAGAGAGTCACAGGACTGGAGAAAGGGGCGAGCCACAGGGATGGAGAAAGGGGTGAGTCACGGGGCTAGAGAGGAGCGAGTCACAGGGACGGAGAGAGTGGTGAGCCACGGGGATGGAGAAAGGGGTGAGCTACGGGGACAGAGACAGGGGTGAGCCACAGGGCTAGAAAGAGGAGCGAGTCACAGGGACAGAGAGAAGGGCAAGACATGAGGATGGAGAAAGACAGAACCAAGGGATGGGCCACATGCTCCTCAGCCACTCCCCACACTTCCCAGAACCCCAGCGAGATGGGCAGCTAGCCTATGGAGGATACGGATAAGAACTGGATGGGCTGAGATCTGCAGCAATGGAGAGACTGGACAAACAGAAGATCTCAGACACAGAAGTGCCAAAAGCTTACAAAGTTGTAAACAACAGATAAACAAACAGTTCACCCAATGCCTGAGTTATCTTCTTTTTTAAGAGCAAACATTTATAAGATTAAAATTCCATTAAAAAAAAAAACAACCCATACCTTGGCATTTTCCAATGACAGATGTAAAATCATCCTTTGCAGACCTGTAAGACAAGGAACAAACGGGGCAATATTTTAAAGCCACCACCACTACAAACGCCCCCCAATGTTCCACCCTCCCCTTCTCACCTACTCGTCTGTCTCTTAGGGAGAGAAGCCTTGGGCCCGAGGGAGGACATTCGACTCCCGGGCTGGCCTGGCGGCTCAGTACACACTGGACCCCAGGAAGACGAGGCCAAGCAGGAGGCCTCACCCCTTGCAAGGGCGGGTCTCACTGACCGCACGCTACCTCATTTCGGGGCCACGTGAATACAAGCAGCGTCTGGATCCCAAGGCAGAGCCTCGAATGGATATCAAAGCAAGAGAAGGAGGATGTTACGAAAGTGCAGCAAACACAGAAAACCTCTCCCTCCAGAAGCAAAGGGTGTCAAAGGGAAAGGAATCTGAAAGCTCCTCCTGGCCAGTGCCTTCCTCCAGAAGACATGGAGACACAGGGAGGGGAGGGGCGGCAGAGCCGGGTCTAGGCTCCGGGCCCAGGCTCCGGGCCCAGGCTCCGGGCCCAGGCTCCGGGCCCAGGGTCCAGGCTCCAGGCCCAGATCCTCCTGATCTCACTCAAGTCACACTGCAGCACCAATGCTCTCTCTTCAACCTCCAAGATCTTTACAGAAGCTTTCTTATTATCAAGGCTGATTTTACTACAAAAAACATCTCCTTAGACCACAGACTCTTAATCCGGGGTCCATGGACCCCCGAAAGGTCCCTGGAAAGATTTCAAGAAGTAGATGAACTTGGATGGGAAAAACAAATTGCATCTTTACTTTCACTGACCTCTAACTAAAAAGTAGCATTTCCTTCCATTATTCAAAAACCCAATTCTGAGGAGGCCACAGGTCACCCACACTACCCGAGGGGTCCAGGCCTCCCAAAAAGGTAAAGAATCTTTTTTGGAAAGCCACAAACTTCTTCACTTCAGGACTTCAATGACATAATGCCTCCTCTTATCCACATCCCCTGCACACAGACCTCACGTCAGTACCAGCACAAGCCCCTCTCCTGCCGTCTCCGTTGCCGTCAGCAACGGCCATGGGCACATTTTGAACTCAGGCCCCAGAGGCACTCTGCCTCAGCCTCCTCACCTCCCCATTTCTGTCGGGGCCACCACCATCCTCCCAGGGGCCCATTACCGTCCTCCTCCCTCCTGTCCCCCTTCTGTCCACTCACACGGGCTCCCCCTGGTGCAGGCCCTCATCCCCTCACACGTGGGCGACTGCAAAGCCTCTCCACTGGCCATTCTCCAGCCCTTCTCATCCCTCCTCACACCTGCCCTGCTCCCCCTGCCCCACCCTGAGAACCTTGCCCCGTAGCTCACCAAGAAGACTGAGGCCCTCAGCCACGGCTCCCCCTTCTCCCCTTCTCCCATGCCCCTGGCATCATCCCACCTGCAGGGGGGGGCCCTAAGAACCCCAGGCTGCCCCATCTTCTCCAGCAGACCATCCCCAATCTCATCCCCAGTCTCTCCCTGACTAAGGACGGCTTCCCTGCCGTCTAAACACATGCCCACAGTGCCCCGTTTCTAAAAACCTCACCCGCTAGTGGCCCATTTCTGTCCATCTTCTTGTGGCTAAATTCTCTGAGAAGGCCGTCTACACCAGGGCCCCTACTTCCTCTCTGTTCACTCTCTTCCAAGCCTCGTACGATCTGGCTTCCAAGCTGTCCCCAAAGTGACCAAAGAGCCAGGCCTCAGCTGCCAAACTCGACAGTCTCCTCTCGATCCTCATTCTCCTCGGCCTCAGCACCCCGGACCCTGCGGCTCCCTCTCTGGCCCCCAGGACCCCTTCTCTCTAGGCTTCCAGGCCATCCCTCTCTCCCGGTTCTCCTGCCCCCTCTCCGACCACTCCTTCTCGGTGTTCCGTGTCAGAGCCTCGACCACGGCTGACCCCAGGGACCTGTCCTGGGCCCCCTTCTCTTTCCCATTTCACTCGATGACCTCAGCAGCATCCTGGATCATCATCACCAGCCCATCATCACTCAGCAGGCCATCCTGCGCTCCTGCATCTGCACCTGCAAACTCCAAGTCCCCCAGACGACGGACGCTCGCCGCGCCCCTCCCCCCGTCCAAAGCCTCGGCTCCTCCCCTCCTCCGAGGCACCAGGGTCACAAGCCGGCTGCCACGCTCTGCATCCCCCACGTCTGATCGCTGCCAAGCCCTGCGGATGCTACAGCCACGAGATCTCTGCTGCTGGCCCCTTTCCCATCCCTGAGGCTCTCTCTCTCTCTCCCTCTCTCACACACACACACACGCACATGCACACACACGCGCACACACACACACATGCATGCACACACACACGCACGCACACGCACACGCACGCACCCCACAACCTCCACCCCCAATGCAGGCCCTCGTGTCCTCAGGCCCAGACCACTGTGATGCCCTGCTAACCAGTCCCCCTGAATTGAGCCCATCCTCCACTCAAACAGCAAACTCATCTTCCTAACCTGCAAACCACGCCCTCCCCAATCAGCCTCAAGAGCTCCCCAGGCAGTCCCCAAGGTGTCCTAAAATAAAGGTCTGTGCACGTCACTCCCCTGCTGCCCCCATACACGCCTCTATTTGGCCTTGAAAGTCTTTCACAACTGGCAGATTACAAACTACTTTCTTTCACGCATGCCATCGTCCTGCCAAACTGGCCTTCTTGCTGTTGCCCACATACCTCATCTCCCACCATTCAGCCTTTGCACCAGCCGTGCCCAGGGATTGGAGAGCTCTCCGTCTTCACCTCTGCCTCTCAGAGTCTCCAGATTTCTCCAAGGCTCAGATCAAGTGCCTCCTCCTACCTGCAGCCTCTCCTGCCTACGAGGCACCAGGCTGCCCTCCCACCCAAAATCACCTCATCTATGTGTGGTAGTGCTTAGCTGGACCCACTGTTCCCCTCTACAGACGGGCAGGGGCTGCTCCTTCCCAGCATCCTCCCCCAGGGCCTCACACACTGTGTGTGGTCCCCAAGTGCTGCCTGCTCAGAGGATAACGACCATCCAAAAAGGGCCGAAGGCTGACGCTGGCCAGAGAAGAGTGACCAATGATGACTCAGCCAAGACCCACAACAAAAATGGTGGTGACAAGACCACCGAGCAGGCACCTCCTGGGGCGCTGGCCACAGCACCAGGGGCACCCCAACCAGCCCTGGGCCAGGGAGGCGGCCAGGCACCACCCTCCTCCCTGACGCAGGCCCGCCCCTGAGAGGGCGGGACAGGCCCCTGGGGGACGCAGGCTCTCAGCAGCAAAACCAAACGTGCCTCTGCACCCACGAGCCGCAGCCACGAGCGGCCCCCGTGGCCCAGCACCACCTCCCCAAGGAACCCACACGGTCAGCAGGGCCGCCGGCCGCCGCCGCTCCAGAAAGCCCACCGCCAAGGCCGGGAGAGCCACCTGCAGGGACCCGCCGGCTCTCCCACGTCCATGCCGTCGGTGAACAACACGGCCATTCGGGAAGCCTGATCGTGCCCAAGCCCCGCTCCCAGGGAGCCTGGTCACCATTCACCATAAGCACAGACGACGCTCACCACGCCTGCATCATGCTCAAGTACAAATCTTACTTCTAGCCCTCCGAGTGATCTGTGATTTGCAAGGACACCACGGTACATTCCAACAGAACCTAAGCCCTTGGAGGACAAGGTCGGCATACCCCTCGTGCCAAGCAGCGTCTGGTGCCTAAGAAGTGCTTGGTGACAGCTGCTGACTGCCTGATCCAAGACGTGGGTCCCGAGCACCCCAGCTCTTCAAGAGAGAAGCTGCCGCTGTCCCACGTAGATCCAGGGCTAAGCACCCCGTCTGCCAGGGCGACAAACGCCCAAAGCGGCCTCCCACAGTGTTTCCATCTCAATAATAATAGGTGATAGTTTTGTCGGGAAAGCATTTTGAAATCGTAAAGGGAGACAGCAATGTCAGTGGGGATCATTCCTCTGACAATCAGTGATGCCTCATTAAACCGTATAACGTAGGAGTAACAGACGTGGTGAAGGTTCAGAGCTGGGAGCGCATGCCTAACGAAAACCTTCAGCTGGGAAAGGGCGGTGGGTGGTCCCTGCCGCTGGCTGGTTGGACCCCCATTGTGGCCACCCTGCTGCCAAGCTGTGCCCGGGCCTGTCTGAACCGCTAGAGCAGGGCTGGGGAACCTGGGGAGCCCCTGTGATCCTCTAGGACCTCAGGTGCGGGCTTCTGACGGAGTCCAAGTTTTACAGAAGAAATCCTTTTCTGAAGGGGATTTGCTCTGTGAAGTTTGGATTCGGTCAAAGGGCCGCACCCGAGGACCTAGGGGGCCACATGTGGTTCCCCAGCCCCGCTCTAGAGGGTTCGCTTACAGCAGGGCCCTTCACCCTTCAGGGCTAAGGACCCCTTGGGCACCAGTCTGACGAATCAGTCTGATTGCCTCCTTCTCAGCAATGCTTTTAAATATACAAAATAAAAGATAGAGAATTACCAAGGAAACCAATCATTGGGGAATACAGTTGTCCAAATGTTAAAAGTTTCAAATTCACGAGCTCATTGGAATCTATCCGCCCACCCCAAAGGCTTCATGGACCCGGGTTAAAAAGCTGACAGAGAGCCCAGGCCACAGCAGTCCAGGGAGAAAGGTCTCAAGGCTCGGGAAGACGTTTCAGGTCCATAGAATGAGCGTCGTTCCCAGGGGACCAGGAAAGGGGGTGGGGGTTTACACTAAGATACCATCCCCCAAACCTCACCCCGTCCAGCACCTGACACTGCGAAATTAAACTAAGGGGAAACAACCCTCTAATCATCTTCCTATCGATTAAAAATAAACCAGGGGACACTGTTTCCTCAAATCCCATTCAAAACCAGCAAAGCAAAGAATTACCTGATCTCCACGCACTGGTCCTGAACAGCGGCCAACAGCTTACCATTGCTGTGGAAGGGAAACACGAGAGTGAGGCCACCGCTGAGAAAGCCCCCGCGATCCCCCGCGACCTCCCACGACCCTCCCATGCCTCCGCGGCAAAAGAGAAGCAGTGCAGGTTTCTCTTCCTTCGCGGCGTGGGACAAACTCACTCGGTCTGTCTTCAGTCGCACCCTCCAATGACCTACGGCTGGCCCACAAGCTTCCCATCTCCTGCCCTTTCCTGCTGCTCCTGACGCCTCCCCACAGTCCTATTCCAGCCGGCTGCTGCCCATCGGGCATGGCCGTCATCCGGGGTTCTCCAGGTTGGGCCAGCGGACACACAGCTGACTGCAGGAGGGAAGGAAAGCTTCTTGGCCCTGGAGGCTCCCAGGACCGACGGAGTCTGACACCTCAGGGCCAGTCACCAGCTCATGAATCCTCTGGCCATGGAACAAAGACAAGGGCAAGATGGCCCCTGGACCTCGGCAGTGACTTCCTGTGCCAGCCCCTACGCGGGAGCAGGTGCAGAGGCGCAGAGAGCCCACGGGCAGCAGAGACCCACCATGTCTTAGGCTGTCCACAAACATGATCTAACCACGGGCCACGCACATGTGAGGCCTTGAGTCAATGACCGACAAGAAGACGGCCCCCGGAAGGACAGCCCCAGGGACACCGGCAGGATGACTCAGCCCTTCCTTGGGGAAGACAGGAAGCTGGGGCTCAGGAGCGGCTCATCCTAAAGAGATCTGGGGGTGTCGGCCCCCGGCCAGACCGGCTGAGTCAAAAGTGTGGGACCGTCAGGAGCGCTACGGGAGCGGCCCCGGGAGGGCCAAGCGTCCAGGACACGCGGCCGGAGGAGAGCGTTCAGTTCTAGGTACGTCCTGGGAAGGACACCATGAGCTGGAGAGCGGCGTCTGGAGAGGACAGCCAGGACGGGGCGGGCCTCAAGATCCTGCCAGGTGAGAACACACCTAGAGAAGATTAGACGTGGGGGCCAGACTGGATGCCCTGAGCGCCCCAGGGATCGTCCTGTGCAGAGGGGCCCCAGGGGAGCCAACAAGGACCTCCGGGTGGAAGGCTCAGGGAGGACAATCTTCCTGACTAGTAGGGGACCACTCCCCAGAATCCTCTGCTTCAACTCAAGGGAAGTGTCCGAGGGCAGCCCTGGACGGCCCCTCCCGTGCGTCTGCAAGAGGAGGTGAGGGGTGATCGCGAGGGGAGTCACAGAGAGGATTCCTCCACAAGAATGGCCTCGGAGGTCCTGGGCGGTAACAGAATCCTTTCCGTGCCCTTGTCAAAGGCAACCACACGTCACTTTCTGGGACACGCGGTTGGCCTTGCAGTGATTTCAGAGACCACCAGCACAAGGGATGTTTCATGGGCCCCACGAAGGAACCCCAGCGGAGAGGGGAGATGCAGGGGCAGGAATCCCACGGACAACGGGGCATATTTGTTATATTTGATGCCAGCAATCAGAAGATCAGTGAACCGAGGTCTTTTTGTGGTTCCGTCTCGTTACTGCAGTGAGTTTTCTGGCTCTTCCTACTCTGAGCTACGCCCAGCGGGTGTGGCCCACGAGGCCTTCCTCAGCTCTCTTCTCTTGTCCTTGGGCAATCCCGAGGCTGGCACTGGCCCTCTTCGGGGAAGCCCACACTCCCATCGCCGTCCCTTGCCTCTGACCGGAGCTCCAGGCCCCCCAAGCACCAGCGCCTGCCGAGCGTCTTTACCTGAACGTCCCCGAGGCAGGACAGCCCGAGAGGGGTTTTCTCTCTTTGCCCCAAACCCTCGCCTCTCCTTCCCTGCCCGGTTTCTGCCAAGGGCACTGCTGTCCTTGGAGCTGTGCAGGTTCACAACCTTAGTCTTCCTCGACTCCCTTTCCTTCAATCAAAAACAGTCAGCAAGTATTTCTTACGGGTCGGCGATGTGCCAGGCGCGTGCTCGCTGCTGGGAGTCCACAGACCAAGGAGACGCTCCCCATTCACGAGGACCTTGCGTGAGACAGCAAGGCCACGAGTCATGAATCGGCACTGGGAGTCCCAGAAATCTTAGTGCCGTTTGAAGCCATAATCTCTTTTAACACTCTTTATTTCCCCAGGGAGGGTGCATGAGTGTGAATCCTGCCCTAATAAGCGACACGAGACACTACCTAAGAAAGACGTGATCGGCGCAGGAGACGGGCTGGTGGTGAAGTGAGAGGGAGAGACAGATGCCAGCCGGGCAGCCCGAACGCTGCGCCGGCACCCACAGGGTAGGGGAAGGCCTGGAGAAAGGTCCCCTGCAGACGGGGCGGATCCACTGTGGAAGGCCCGTGGGAGGAGAGAGACAAGAGTTGCCCACGCTGAGAAAAGATGGGCCGTGGTGGTCACCACTGCAGAGAAACCCACCTCGCTGAGACCCCCAGCATTCCCTTTCCAGACAGACAAGTGTCCCAGAGCACCACGCAGCTGGGTACAACAGTCACTCGGCTGTAATCAGGGAGTCGCACCTGAGACGAAGATCCTTTCCTTTTCATAGCTACAACCAACATTTTACTGATATGAACAGGTTCAAGCCCCCAGGCTCCCAAATGCACTTCTACTCTACAGATGATTTTGCAATCCTCCCCAAGGCCTCCTGTGGGAAATCACTGATCCTTACCTTGCCAGTACTAAATGCCAGTTCATCTGCTTATTAACCAAGCGAACCAGTCCATCGGGGAGTACAAATGTCGCAGGGCTGAAATGACAGGCACATTTGGGTTCACAATAAAGTTAGCTGGACTGCAGGCAGAAAGTCTCTGTATCTTAGAGGGCAAGCACCCAGGCCAACAGAACTGGGAGGGGCCTTAGACCCAGGACAGGGCCTTCTTCTCAGAGCCAAGGCTACCTGGTCTAAGCAGGAGCTGACACTGGAAATGCCTGATCACATCGGGGTTCCCAGGGGCCTTGTGGGGAGAGCACTGGGCCTGGGGCCAGGAGCTGGGTTTCAATCACACACACCTACACACACACACACACACACACACACACACACACACACACACACACACACACACACACAC